TCCCATGAGTGTGGTCACAATTCCTATTTCTTTGCACATCTTATAATACTTTTAGAACATTTTAGATAACATCTTGCAACTCTATATCTGAATCTTTCCTGAGTTGTGTTTTTTTTTTTGATGTTTGTTTGTTTAGTGACTTGTGTGCACTTGTGTGACTGTGGATATGCTGTCTCCCATGGTGTGTGATAATATGTGGCCACTGATATCTCTGCTCAGATTATGGTTCTAGCCTTTGCTTATGGATCTATGTTTGGATTGGGGAATGCACTTAAAGTTCAAGCTGTTTATAAATTTGACCCATCTTTTACTTTCTGCTCTCTGGCTTCTCATCCGTACTCACACAGGTTTCACGATCATTCAAGTGATGTATAGCTGGCTAGCTCCTCCTCCATTCTCTTCTGCTCCTGTGCACAACCTCATAAATGCAGTTTTTCAGACCACCAAAGTATGTGCAAGCTCCTCAAAGCCTACTACAATTTTCTCATTCCATGATCTCCCTGTTATATTTCTGGCTACTCAGCTTTGCAGTGTTAAAAATCAAGCCAGCTACCTCTGGCAGCAAAGCCTCTGTTTTTCAGAGCTTACTCTCTTGTGGTGGAACTACCATTCTGATGAAGCCAGGGAAAGGATTTGTGATAGCCTCCCTGAACTAAAAAACCAGAACACCCCATTGTTCTTACCCAAATATCAGTAGCTTTTCTTGAATGAACACTTCTAAATTTATGGTATACCTGTGGCTGATTTCCAGAGTCCTAAAATTGTTGTTTTAGACAATTTTATCATTGTTTATTGGGGAGAAAATGTGATATTCTGCCATTCTGGAAGTCTTACATCCCAATTATTTTTTTAATTAAAATATTAAGATATATTATATATACTTACCTATACACTGACCATTTTGGTGCTCTTCATTCCTTCTTATAGATCTGAGTTTATATCTGATATGAGATCCTTTTTACCTGAAGAACTTTAATATTCCTCATGTTACAAATTTGCTTGTGAATTCTCTTACCTTTTGTATTTCTTTAAAAGTCTTTCTTTACCTATACTTGTGAAGAATTTTTTTTTAGATATAGAATTCTAAGTTGACAGTCTGATTTTTCCTTTCAGTGTGTAAAAGTTGTTGTTCCATTGTCTTATGGTTTTCATTTTGCTAACAGAAAATCAGGAGAAATTCTTAACTATTTACTCTCTTCTTTTTTCCTCTGGCTAATATTAATACTTCTTATTTATCACTAATATTCAGCAATTCAATTATATAATGCCCAAATGTGGTTTTCTCTGCAGTTCTTCTCTTTCGAATTTGTTGATGTTGGATCTAGCAGTTTGCATTTTTTTAAAGGGAGGGCTTTTTTTTTTTTTAGATTTTATTTATTTTCAGAGAAAGGGAGGGAGAAAGAGAGGGAGAGAAACATCAATGTGTGGTTGCCTCCCACATGCACCCTACTGGGGGCCTGGCCCACAACCCAGGCATGTGCCCTGACTGGTAACGGGACTGGAGACCCTTTGGTTTGCAGGCCAGAGCTCAGTCCACTGAGCTACACCAGCCAGAGCTGCATTTTTTTATTACGTTTAGACAACTTCAGTCATAATTTCTTCAAATTGTTGTTTTCTGTAACTGTATAACTTCTCTCCTAGGAAGCCAATTGCTTATGTATTAGATTGCCTGACATTAGTACACATGTCATTGAGACTTCTGGCTTTCTTTTTTTTTTCCCCTGTGGCTTTGTTTGGGTATTTTCTTTGTTAAATCTTTAAATTCACCCATCTTTAAATTATATTTTTGTACTTAATATTTTATTACAAATATCCAGGAATGTTTTTCAGGCATTATATTTTTCAACTCTGGGATCTCCATGTGGTTCTTTTTAAAAATATCTTTCATTTCTCTCCTAATCATATTTAAGTCACAGTCTTGTACAGATGAAACATATTTATGAGTATATAGCTTTTGAAATATCCCACCTGCTAATTGTATCATCTCTGTCATTTTTATTCTGTTTCTATTGACTGCTTTTTCTCTTGGTAACAGGTAAAATTTTCGTGTTTCTTTCATGTTTAATACTATTTGATTAAATGCTTTAGATTTTAAATTTTACATTCCCGAGCAATGATTTTTGTGGTATTCAGTATTGATTTTTGTTCTAGTCAACAAGTAAATTACTTGTGTATGAATCTGATTCTTTTTAGGCTTATAGTTTATCTTTTTGTGGTACATATAGAGTAAAATTTACAATAGTGTTAGTTTACTCTCACTATTTATCATTCTGGAGTCTTCACAAAAAGTCCCATGTACTTAATTGAAGTATTTCCACTCCAGCTGGTAGAAATTCTAGTCCTTTGTGAACTCTAGAAATTATTTAGCACATAATCTCTTGACTATTTTTCTTTTTTCAATAGTTTTTGTTTTCCTCGCCTCATACAATTTTATGTTAAGCAGTCACAGCTAAGCACTCAATGGATATTAGATTTGTAGAGCTCTGTTTCTACATAGCTCTCACCTCCATAATACTCTGTCCTATCATGTTTAGGCACCTTGGCCTCCCTGAGCTCTAACTTTTGTCTAAAAGTTCTTTTGGGTTCAGGTTTTCTAGGGTGTGTTTGGGTTCTCTTACTCTGAGCCATGGTCCAGAATTGCCTCTAACCTGAAAGCTGGGACTGTCATTGGGCTGACATCATTATTTTTCCTTCTCTCAATAGTCAGAGCCCTGTGTTTTCCAATGACATACTGTTTGCTAAATTTAGCATATAAAAATATAGGTCAAGTATCTAAATTTGAATTTAGGTAAGCAACAAACAGTTATTTAGTATCAGTAGGTCTCAAATAATGCATGAGACATACAAACACTAAAATTGTTTATCATATTTAACTTGAATTCTACATTTTACCTCACAATCCTGAGAAACAACTATTTTCTATATATTTTTTACAGTTTCTATTGTTACTGTGGGAGGACATTCCCATAGCAGTTACTCCTTTTATAGGTAAAAGCACAAGTCCTGATATTATTTGTTCATGAGTATTCTACATTATGAATCTCACATTGTTGATTTTACCAAACTTGTTGTCTTCTTTTAAAGGGTATATATTGAAATTTGTTTTTCTGGCAGCTAAGTAACAATAGCTATGCTTGATCATTTTGAATGTTTTTTAAAGCTTTCTTCTGGTGTTTCTACAGTGGCCTATAGTCTAGGGCTAGTTAGTTCACTATTAAGATGTGACCCTTCTGGAGTTTCTATTGAATGCCTTAGTTTTCAGCAATTCTCATTACATTGGCTAGTCAGAGCTCTAATATCTCCCAGCCCTACGTGAGCTCTGGGAATTGTTCAGCTAAATCTCTCTAGTGATTGTTCCTTTCCTGCCTCATGGAGCTTTGCCTTATATAAGTGTAGCACAATATTCCACCAAAGACTCAAGAGGATCCCTATGCAGCTATCTGGAGCTCTTTCTCTGCATAGTTCCCTCCTCTCTGGTACTTTGTCCTGCATTTCTAGCCACCTCAGCTTCTCCACACTATAATCTCTGTCTCCTTAACTCAGCAAGGCCACAGTGCTCTGCTGGGAATCCCCCCTCCTACACTGCAGTCTGGAAAGTACCTCCAGGAATAAAGCCCAACATAGGGTTCATCTTGTGTCTTTCCCTCCTGTATCACATTCCTGTGCTAACTATTGTCCAAAACCACTTATTTTATAATGGCCAGAAGCCGAAGTCTGACTTTTAGAACATTTGTATCTGTGAGGTACTTATGCTTCTTCTTCAGCCTCATTATAAATTCTGCACCGGGGGCTGGGGGAGATGGCATCTGTCTCATCCTTATCTTGATAGCCTCGTATCTATTTGGTTTCTCAGTTGAAAGTGAAGCCTGGAAAATCACCAGTTTAAAATACTGTTACGTGTTAGCTTCTGGGCTCTATGCTCTGCACTGGTCAAAATTATTACTTACTCTTCAGGATCCAGCATAGTGTCAGGAAAAGAGTAGGTGTACAATAAACATTTAATAAATATAAGAATAAATTAATCAATGATAAGGCATGGGGATTGGAACTGGCAGTTGGTTCCAGATTTGTGGACCAAGTAGTTCGGACATTGTCTGTATGCAGCCAAAACCAGTGGGGACGGGGATGAGCTAAGCTCAGTGTGGTGCTCTTTAGAATTTTCACTTGGAAAAGATTTCAGAGAGAGCTACACTAGTATGGTGTGATCAGTTTAGGAAAAACAGAAGGCAGGCTGATAAAAGAGGCCTGAGTGAAAAATAATCAACAAATTACACATTTCAATTAAAAGTGGGCTTAGGATGGACCTGGCTTCTGAAATTAGGCGAAGAGGATGACAGTCCTAAGTGTCCTGTCACAGGAAAATGAGAGCCAAAGAAGTCTGACAGAGCACGCTATGGAAAATGTACCAAAAGTCAGGGGAAACTAGGGCTGTATAATCTTTAAGATTCCTTCCTTTTCAAACAGTCGTTCATTCATTCACTCACTCATTCAAATACTTATGATTGAACATGTCTTATGTTCCAGCAAATGACTTAGCAATACAAAAATATCAAAACTCCCCCTGTCTTAAAGGAGAGCAACACATCGTTCTAGGGAAATAGACATGTAAACAACTAACTGCAATAAAAATAATAAAGTTCCTAATCAAAGTCTTCATTTACTCTTTGAGGGTCACTGCTGGTGGTTTCAGGGGAGAGAATTCTGCAGTAGTTTAAGTAGGGTTTATGTGATTCTGAAGTAAAATAGCAATATAGTATGTGGGATAGGCTTCCACTGCTGCCATACATAAGAAACAATTTGAGTCACTCTTAGGAAGTCAACAGAAGAAAGGCGAAACTGAGCTGGAGAGTGGTGAATATATATTCTTAACTATTGATATTAGTTTGTACTTTCGCTAGAAAAAGACATGTCTAAGCCACATTATCATACTATTTATTTTTTTTTCTTTTTTTTTTATTTTTTTTTATTTTTTATTTTTTTTTGTTTTACACACTGTACATTTTATTAAATACTGGGTTTTACTAGAACAAATGAACTTCTGATAGAAGTTTCATTTAAAAAATGTGGCTCTGTTCAAATTCCTACTTGACACTGCTTTTTGCCTAAGTATTCTACTTTTACTGGTTCTTTACTCAGTCATTATGGGCAGAAAAATTAATTTCTTATAACAAAACAAAGGAATTTCTCAAGTGGTACGACACTCAATCCGTATAACAGAAATACTCCCCAAGTGTGGACAGGACCACAACAGAGTATATGATCAGAGAACACATTGCTTTTCACGGTATATTTGTAATAGCTACAGGTAACACTGCTAACTCATGCACAGTAAGTCTTTACTACCTACTGAAGGTCTCTGCCTTACACACGAAAATTATTCATGTCCCAGGGTTTGGCATTTAGCTAAAAATTAAGCTATGCTGGAAAATGTCTGTCAAACGGGCTTTCAGACCACCACAGAAAAGCTGTCAGCTATAATATCCATCCTGGAATCGTGGCGGCAAGTTCCTGGGAGTGGCTTTTTCCTGTGTTTTGATCAAGTCTATGATGGCTGAGAGGACTGCACAGTCTCTGGATTTCGTGTCCTTCCAGTCAACAGGATGGGGACTTTCGATCTTCTCTTGCAGAAGGGTATCTAATTCCTTCCTTAATTCCTTAACAAGATGGGCAATTCTGGCTGGAGACTGAAAGACAATCCACTCATCAACAGCAATAGTTTCCTGATCATTATCCTTCTGGATGGAAATATCGCCTCCAAAGAACAAGAGACAGTATGGGGAAACTTCTGTGCAGTCATACAAGTATATACTACTTGTTCTCATCTTTAGGTGATAGATAAGCCAGTTATAGTGAAAATCTGTTTGCTCCACATTAACAGACTTAGGGTGAATAGCAACCAGTCCATCAGTTTTTGTGTAAACTTTCAACATTTTTCTTTTTTTACCCAAATTTAGTCGAATTTTAGCAACTTTGGGATATAAACCAGCACAGATGACAGCTTTAATTATCTTCTCATTATCTGAATTTATATTAGATTTCGGATCTTTGGGATTTCTACTGCTTACAAATCCAGCTCCAAGAAGATGCTCAGCAAACTGCCCTTTCATGTTATGCAGCATCTGCAACGTATTTGAAGACAGAAAATACTCCCAGCAATAGTCTTTTTCATATCTGAAACCACGTCGTCTAGCTTCTTCCCATCCCTCAAATGCATTCACAACTGTCAGGTGGTCACTTTTAGAATCCTTTGCCAATTCCTTTCTTCTTGCATCTGCGACCTTTTCTTTCCCCAATGGGATCACAAAGGGATCCTTGAAGCTGAGACTCGCAGCGATGGTAAGTACTGGGTCTAAACAACAGAACAGAGCCCCAAAAAGAATCATCTTTCCAATGTGTGGCTCAACTGGTAATCGTGCTAAATGGACTCCAAGAGGTGTCAATTCTTCTTGTTTATCCAGAGCATTCAGTTCCATCAGGTGCTTTATGGAGAGTGACACCGCTTCATTTGATGGTGGATCCATTAACCTACTCAGAAAATGAGCGATTCCGCCAAGCCTTAAGATCTTTATTTGTAAACAAAGTTCTTCCAGAGGAGTTCTCAAGATCTCTGGCAGTTGATAGTCATCTAGAAGGCTTGCTCGAAGACCATTATACAGATGATAGCAATGGCCAGGCTGAACTCTTCCAGCTCGACCTTTCCTTTGTTTGGCATTAGCTTTACTGACCCACTCAGCAGACATTGTGCTGATGTTGTTCTGGGTGTCAAAGTGTGTCTCCTTTATTTTTCCTCCATCTATCACATAAACTACATCATCTATGGTTATGCTAGTCTCTGCAATGTTCGTAGCAATTACTATTTTCCGAACACCAGGAGGGGTTCTTTTAAATACCTGTGTCTGGTTAACTGTAGGCATCAGTGAATGTAAAGGTATAATAAGAAACTTGTCTGATTTAAACATCACTTGTGACATCAAGAGATCATGTAAAGTGCTGATATTGTCCCAGCCTGGAAGGAAGACCAATATTGCACCATCCTCTTCTTCCAAAACAATGTATCGAATAAGGGCAGCAATCAAATTCAGATCAACTTTATCATCATCCACCATTTTTATAACATCTACAGTACTTGCAGAATACCTCTTCTGCAGCTCCCTTATATAATCTGGCCAGCGTTCTTTATAAATTGCTTCTTTTTCTTCTTTTTCTTGTCTATTTACATGCCCTTGCATGAAACTCCTCTTAAACTGGGATCTGTGTTCTTTTTGTTCTGGAACATATCTTATTTTTTCAATTATATCTTCCAAAAGATACTCCACAACCGGAAAAGTAAAACCAGGTATATGTATCATTGGACAGTTACCAAAATATTCTGAAAATTTCTCAGCATTCAATGTTGCACTCATCAATATTACCTTCAGATCAGGCCGATAACTTAGAAGGTCTTTAACAACAGTCATTAAAACATCTGACTGCAGATTTCTCTCATGGATTTCATCAAGCACAATATGACTAACACTGGACAAATGCGAGTCTGACTGGAGCCACTGAAGGATGATTCCTGTCGTACAGTATAATATAGAACCCTGTTTCCTTGGCAGCCGGCTCTGCAGACGAATTTGGTATCCAGTACTATTACCATTGCCACAAGATTCTGCCCTTTCTGCAGCCACTCTCTCTGCAACTGAAATGGCACTAATTCTTCTTGGCTGAGTACAAACTATCCTGCACGCAGATCCTTTTCCTCTTTCGATGTAATTATCCAAAATGAACTGAGTTACTTGAGTGGTTTTTCCACAACCAGTTTCACCACTTATTACTGTCACCTGATTATTATCGATCATATTTACCAATTCCTTTTGCATTCCAAATGAAGGCAGCTTTTCCCTGAAATGCTGCATTTCAATATACCGAGGGTCAGTTTTTTTCTTTTGCAAATCTTCCAGTAACTGTTGGTCTAAAGTTACATCTGGTTTATTTTCTTGCAAGAGATACTCAGAATCTCGGTCAATATATTTGTCCCTGATTCTAAATGTCCTTTTTTCTTGATTTATCAATTTTTTTTCCTGGTCCTCAAATTTCTTCTCTGAGTTTGGTTTGTTCTCAGCAGGAGCTTCGGTACCATACCCATGATCTTCCGGAGCAAACCAGGATATTTGTGATTCTGAATCTTTATCATTCTTAGCTTGGACAGAATGTAGGAGCTGCACAATTTGTTCTTCTCGATGTTCATCCATGTGTACTACAGCTCTCTCCTGCCTCTCGGCTTCCTTGTTCTTCTGCCCCTGTTTCTTCGCGTACCACAAGCCGATTTCGCGGCCTCTCAGGTGCCCGGGATGTCGGCCCCGGCCTCCTCGACCACCGCCTCCTCCTCCGCCACCGCCTCCGGAGCCTCGGTTCCCTCCATGGCCCCCTCCATGACTTCCTCCACAGCCCCCACCGGAGCTGCGGGGCCCACCATCGCGGCCCCAGCTCTGATGGTAGTCATAGCTCATTGTCCCACCGGACTACAATGCGTGAGAACCTGTACCCGATCTATCATACTATTTAGTATTACTCTGTATAAGGGTAACTGACCCATTTAAAAAATGACTTTTTTTAAAAAAACTTGACATCATGAAACTGGCTGGAGTCATGTGAAAAAATACCATATTTTTTATGTCAAAAAGCCCAAAGTCACAGCTGTCGACAGAATCTGAATGCATATCCCATGGGCCCCACTAGGGCTTGTTCTGCTCATAATGTAAGTAGGATAACAGTTCATAGAAGAATATTAAAGAACATTATCTTATTTTGCATAAAGATTATTTCACTGAGTTACTACTTAATCCATAAACGTTGCTTTCATTAATGAGAACATTTGAATTTCTTTTACTCTAGAAAGTTTCCTTTCTTTTGGTTCGCAGGCCGACACTCAATCCACTGAGCCACACCAGCCAGAGCAAAAGTTTCCTTTCTTTTTCCATGAAGTTTATTTATGCTTTTCATTAGGAAATTAAATATTAATTATAGAGAGATTGGAAAACAGAACAGTGAAAAGAATATTCATTTTCTACCATCCCAAATAATCAGTTAATAACATGTATTCTTGCCTTTATTTTCTATTCATATTTATGTATTTTATTAGTTTGACATTGTTCAGACTATAGTATACAAATAGTTCTGTATTTTTTACTGTTAATTGTTTCACCATGTATAATTATATAAGTATATACATCTTTCTTATCTCCTATTACTGAATCATTAGGCAAAAGGAGAAGGAAGAGGAAAAACAACTAAACTGAATTCTGTACTTTTATATTGTGTGACTCTTAAATTAGTTCATTTAATTAATATAACAAACCACGTAAGGAAAATGTTTTACTTTAAAGAAATGAAATCTTAGAGAAGGACTTCCTGACTTTACAGAGTAATCATATTAAGTGTGTACTTGAGATACGAACCTGGGACTATAGGACATCTAAAAAGGTTCTTACACATTTCAACAGAGGCAAGAGAGAAACAGGATAAAGGAACCAATGTCGGAGCTGCTCAGTCGTTGGTAGAGGGGCAAAAGTAATAGGTTCCTTTCCAAAGAACAAAAGTTTCCTTAATTTAACCTTCCAACCTAAAATTGAGAAAATGCAATTGGACAAGGGGAGATATGAGAGGAAGAAGAAATAGTTCAAATTCTAGTCCCATTAACTGTTTTCTCTTTTTAGCTAAGCAATCCCATGACCACTTGAGTTATATTTTTACACTATCTTTGGAACCAGGTTATTTTAACAAGTGCTGTCCAATTGCTATGTTATTTAAAAGAAGAGCTTCTTACATTTCTAATTAGGCTTTATTTTTAAAATATCTGTCATCTTAAGGGCCTATGAAGATTTGTATCTTCTATCTGTGAAGATAAAATAAATTTCTTTCTTTAGGCTGATTTTGCTTAGGTAAAGTCACCAGAGCAAGTTTAGATTTTGTGTTTTATTGTTGGATGGTCTGGATGCTAGTTTGAGAATCTGAGTTGGTAATAAGCTATTTTTCTCAAAACATATGTGAGAGATCAACCAATCCACTTGTGTATATCTATATATCTTCAGGATTTCAGAGAGAAATATATGAAGACCATGTATCTTTTTTAGAGAAGTCTTTAGGCTTGTGTTTTTGTATTCAGAATAGCCTTGAATAGTCCATCCTTAAGTAATATTTACCACATATAAATATCCAAAAAACTAACTTATGGTCACTTTTGCTACAGTTTCTCCTTTTTTCTTAATCTCAACAATCCCATATCTGCTAGTGATAGGACAAGTGGAATAATCTTCTAATAAGGAAACCAAAGGTATTTATCTTTCTTTTCTTATTTCATCTATGCAATCACTTACAAAATACCACCAATTTCCTTCAAATTCATTCTCAGTTTTATTGTTTCCTCTTCATTTGGTGAGATCATTAAAAAGTTTTTTTAATTTTAATTTTAGCAACTGCCTCCTAACTGGTCTTCCCGGCTTCCAAACTCTCCTTCGTTTTCAACATACACAGTGATGCCCAGGTAATAATCTTCAGTCACTGCTTTGATCGTCTTGTCTATCTGCTGAATGCTCTGCGATGCCTCTTGTAGCACTGTCCTTGTAGCTCCCAGGGGGTAGGTTCTTGTCCTAATCAGTACCTCTGGCAGCCTCTGGTACAGATCAGAACATAGATGTTTATTTTGTCAAAAGTGAATGCCCACTAAATCAATGGAGGTAAGGGGTGGGGAACTAGAACAGCTACATGGATTTCTTCTGTTGTCTCAAATTTTCTGGTAAAACCTCAAAGTTAAGGACTGCTGCAAACAACCCCTTTACATGCTAGAGAGCACACACAGCTGCAGCTAGTTACCATCAGTGTAGGGCAGTGGTTCTCAGCTGGGGGTGATCTGGCCCATAGACAATATGTGGAGACATTTGGTTTTCATACCTCAAGGGGAAGAAAAGCTTCTGGCATCTAGTGGGTACAGGGCAGGGGTATTAAATATCCTACAATGTAGAGTCCTGTCTCCTCAAACAAACAAACAAAAGATCTCAGCTGTAGTAGTACTAATGCTGTGTTTGAGAAAGATTTAAGAAGGTCCTTTGACTTATTCTTTCACTCACTATTCAATCTATGAGGTCAGAAGGTAGAAAACTTTTTTAAAAATTGTATAAGTAAGGCGTTATAGGTTTAGGGGTAAAATATTTTTGTTCTTCTTCTGTCTTCTAACGTCAAGTCAAGTTAGGAAGTCTCCAAAAGAATCCCTGAGGGACCCGAAGGTTGTTACAACATGAGAAAACGGCATCTCACACCCTCACTGGATGTCTGCTGAGCTGCGGAGACTACAACACTCCTTTGTTCTAAGGCAGGAGAAGGGCAGTGGGGGGATGTTCTTGGAAGTGCTTGACATGCATTCTGAGTTCCAGAGTGTACATGAATAAAGAGACTGGTTTTTGGCTCCTGCCTAAAGAATTCTAAAGATGGGAAATTGAGTTTGTGACAGCAGGCCAAGGGAGGAAGGCAGTTAGAAGCTGCTAAAAACTGCACCCTTTGGTATGACAAGAATACATGCTTTCTGTGGACTAATTGAGCACCTCAAAAGGTAACTGGGCTCAAGATACATTGGTAGAACAGTGCCTATGCGGATAGCCTGCCTCGGCAAGGAGTCCCTAAAAGTCTGAACCTACAGGAACGTCTGCTGGTAGCAGGAGATAGATGGTGGCAGCGTGGTGTTGTATGAGGTCAGCTGGGTATGGTTTTGCCTGCTTGAAGAAATCATACGATAGGTAGTTCAGTGCATGCCCAGTGAAAGAGTGGCACATGGGCTCTACAAGAAAACTGGCGGCGCTGGTGGTGCTACCCTGAGGAAAGAGTGGTTAGAGCAGCACTTCACCCTGTGCTGCTTCCTGAGTACCAGAACAATGGAGGGGCAAGGCGGCCAAGCACCATCAGAGAGAAAAAGAGGGAACAAATAAGAGGAAAAAAGGAATAAAAAATGAATGAACAAGGAAGAGTAAAAGCCCACCTTCCCCAAAGAGGTTTCTAAGCCCGGGATATGTGGAAATTGATGTGAGGATAGACTGGACCAGGTCTGAAACTGAGCTCTGGTTTAGACTAGAAAAGGCTATATTGTATCTGAAAGTGAATTCTCAGTTGCTAAAGTATGATTTATTTTTTCTCATGAATGAATGAATGTGACCAGAAAGCTGAAGGAACTACTCAAGTTGTTGTCTAGAACAGAAAAGAGATCCAGTAGGGCATGTTTGAAGGAACTGGGTAAAAGAAAAAAGTGTTTCTGGCCTGATTCCCATAGAATTCAACCTGTTTTTAGAAATCAGCTATATTAGCCTTTGTTGTACACCTCACATGGGTCAGTATCATATTTGTTAAATATTAACATACATTAAATCATCTAACCTTTTAATAGTATCCATTGATAAGAATTTCATTTCTATTTAAAGGTGAGGGAAAAAGGTTTGTAAACTTCAAATGACATATCATGAAGAAATTGGAGTAAGTGCTTTCTAGGTTCTTGTGTTTTGACAGGATAGTTTAAGAATAGAAACAATCATGTTTGTTCTGCCTTTGACTCAGAGCCAGATGTTCCAGAGTGTGCTACTCAGATTTTACCTTTTACAGACAGATTTTGAGGTTCTTACTTTACATATTGATACTGCCATCAGCTAAAGCATCCTATTTTTTAGCACTAGAACTGTCTCCATTCTGAATTACTAAATATGCTGACAGTTGAATTGAGTGAGAAATGAGTTTCTCTGAGTTGCATTGAAGGCACTGTATAAGAGTGGAAGAGCTCATTCAGGTGATGATCTGATCACTTAGCAAACATTGGCTGGTACCCACCTCTCCACCCCTAGTTCCATGTGTGAACAAACATGCCTGGCTGAAGAGGCGCTAAAATGTAGCAAGTTAAGATTTAATTTTTATTAGATCCTGCTATTTGTTTTCACTGTTTTTATCTTAAAAGTCCCAGAGAGCTCTGATTCTAGGGGTAAAAATGAAACCAGTGCCTCCTGAGACTGCCAGTCAAGATGGCGACACAAGTAAACACAGCTCACCCCCTCCCACAACCACATCAAAATTACAACTAAAATATAGAACAGCCATCACTCGGAACTATCAGAAATCAAGTTGAATGGAAGTCTGACAACTACAGAATAAAGAAACTACATCTACCAGACTGGTAGGAGGGGTGGAGATGCAGAATGAGCTAATCCCACATCCATGTGTGGTGGATAAAAACTTGAGAGGGATATCGCGGGAGTGAGGAGTCCCAGCCCTGTACCAGGTGCCCCAGCCTAGGGTTCCAGTGCCAGAAGATAAATCCCCATAACTCCAAGTGGCAAAAAACCAGGGGGAATGAGTTGGTGGAGGAAACTTCCCCATAAAGAACCCATACATGGACTTACTCAGATTCACTCCCTCTGAGCTCCAGCACTGGGGTAGCAGCTTGAAAGTTACCAGTGGCAAAAAGGGAGGAACTGAAATGTCTGGTATCAAGGCAGGAGCTGG